ACCATTGATTACTGAAATCTATATGACAGCCTTTGAGGAAAAGACCATGGAAACCTCTCCGATCCCTCCAATCTGCTGGTTCCAAGTTGAGTGCTCCTGTAGAAGTTCTTATATAGGGGAAACAAAGAGACCCTTGATGTTCGACTCAAAGACCATCAAGACAAGCCCGGCAATGAAGGAACATCTGCTGTGGCTGAACATCTTGCTATGGGAAGGAAAACAGGACACAAAGTCAACTTTGACAACACCAACATACTGACAATCAATAAGCACATGGATAAAACTAGAGATGAAGATGTTCGTTTATCGCATGCATATGATTAACTTATCAACTTGTAATTATTCATATTCATAAATGTATTCAATTTAATAAAAAATTTACAACTTTAAGCATAGTAAGTTATTTGAACAATGTAATTTCTATTAATAAAAGACTCCAATAATAGCAATAGTTGTTTATTTAATCTTCAATTAATCTTTTTTAATTCATTGACTTTATTTCAATTATGTTACTTAATCAGCCTGTATGTTATTTCAAGAATTATGTACGTCTTATTGTACCTTTTAAATTTAATGTAATGTATCAATAAACCATTTATCTCTTGTGTGTTCTTAATAATTAGCATTAATCTATATATAGTTTGCCCATCACTTCTTCTCATTATGTGCCTGGGGACGACGGGGGAAACACGTCGAAACGTTGCATAAAACTTTAACCAGTGATTGTTGTTCCATAAAGCTGTGTCTATATATCGTACTCACAATTGCTAAATGCCATTCAAAAGACTTTTTATTAACATAACTAGAAGCGAATCTCTTACCCATTGCGATGTAAATTTTACCTAAAGAAAAATCATTCCGTTTAACACAAATTTTGAGTAATTGAAGAATTTAGGTTCAGGTATTCTATCAAAACATTTTTTGATTGCGTTTAAAACCGCTTCATTGTGAATACACATTACACTTAAAAAACTATAATTTTCAAGCAAAACCGAGGATTGGTGGCCTAATACATATACTTCTTTGCTCAATAGATTTCTTCATTAAATCAACTCATTTAAAAACAGAATGAGTTTAATTTTAAAACACGAACAAAACAAATTCGAAGGAGACGGTTTCTTCTCAGCTCTATCATCTCTCATCCCAAAAGTAGCCAATTTTGTCTCAAACAACAAATCCCTCATTTCCTCAAAAGCACAAGCTGTTGGATCTTTTGCAAAAGCAGGAGAAACTATAAGCGATGCAATGAAAAGATCTAACGAGAATTACAACATATAAGAGAAATGCGAAATAAAAGATTAGAAAATAAAAAAGGCAATGGATTAAAATTATTGGATAAAAATGTCTATGATCATTGCTCAAACTCCTAAAACATACTTTGGTTCTGAAATTCAAAAATCATTAGGTTCTCTTCCTGGATTACAAAGGGCAAATCTTCCCGGTCATAATTATACTCGTCCAGGTACAAGGTTAGATCTACGATTAGACCAAAATGATAAACCAAAACCGGGCGAAGAACCAGTCAATAGAGTTGACGCCGCTGCACTTAAACATGATAATTTATTCAGAAATAAAGACATAAAGTTCAGACATGAATCAGACAAACAAATGATAATCGAACTTGAAAATATTCCAAATCCAAATTTCAAAGAGAGAATGCAAAGAGCATTAATCATTAAACTCTTGAAAGCAAAGATAAAGTGGGGATGGGAATAGCAAATGAAATACACAAAGAATTTAGAAAAAACAAACATTTTTTAAAAGTCAAAGTGTTTGATAAAGATGATTAAATTAATATGATTAAATTAATATGCCTGTTGAAAGAGGATATAAATATTGTTTAACCGTTATAGATTTGTACACAAGATATACTTGGGTTAGTCCTCTCAAAAACAAAACAGGTTTATCAGTCAAACACGCATTTGAAACAATATTGAAACAATCCGACAGACGACCTCAAAAGTTATGGGTAGATAAGGAAGCGAATTTCATAACAAAAATATGAAATCTCTAGGATTTGAAATTTACAGCACAAATAATGAAGGTAAAGCTGTAGTTATTGAGAGATATAATAGAACTCTTATTATTCAAAAAGTTCACGGAATTGAAATCCCAAAAATGGCTTAAAATATTACCAGAGGTTGTAGTTGAATACAATAACAAAATTCATTCATCTACAGGTGTCACACCAACACAAGCCACAAAAAATCAAAATATTATAAAGTCAATTAACGCACAACATAACTACGAAAATGAAATACATAATTTAAATATCAAACCCAAATTTAAAGTCGGAGATCGAGTTCGTATTTTCAAATATAAAAGCAAATTCGAAAAAGGCTACGTCGGATTTTGGACCAACGAAATATTTATCGTAGATAATGTAAACACCACATTACCTCCAACATATGAATTAATCGATCAAGACAAAGAACAAATCACAGGTAGGTTCTATCAAAACGAACTTCAAAAAACCGACTTTTAGAAATGAATATCTCTCTCGATAAATATGGAAGCGATACAACCACAAACTTTCAACTTATGAAATGGGCAAATGAGTTAAATATATCTCCGTTTTATTATTGTATGAGAGATGAAATAAATAATCTCAAGGATAAGAAAGGTAAATTTTATGCGATAACAAATTTACATACTTCATATCAAAACGGAGTTCATCACTCTGCTTTATACAAAGACTCTTTAAGTAACTTTTATTTCTTCGATTCTTTTGGATTAGATCCAACTGAAGAGATAATGCAATTGACTAATCAACCAATCAAATGTTCAACATTTCAAATTAAAATACCAGGGCAAAAGTTTTGTGGACAGCTTTCACTTTGGGTTTTATATCAGTTTAGGAAAACAGTTTGAAGAAATTGTAATAAATTTAACTTAATAAAAATGGCGAATAAATTTGAATGAGGTTCTTTACCTTTAGATACCAAAAAACCTAACACTACAGCATGGATAAATAAAGCAAATTGGAACAAATTGGAGACACACTTCAATGTGATTTAGATATGAATTATTTTACCATAACTAATTTCAAGTTACCAGAAAATGATTATGATGCTGTGAATATTTAATGGATCAATTAAATTTAATTGAAGTAAATAAAGAACATTTAAAAGAAAGAATAGGCGATGTGAAAAGATACTTCAAACGACAAATAAATAATAAAGATTTTATTGATGATACTAAATTACAACAAGAAGTAACAAGTTTAAAACGTTTTATTGAAGAACAATTACTTAATGTAGTAGATTAAACTCAGTCTCAAACTTTAAGTTCATTAATATCTAATTTAAATGATAAGATTACAAAACAAAAAGTAGATCTTAAACAACTAATAGCCAATATTAATCCAGGTATAAGTGAAGATAAATTAACAACATTAGAAACCAAACTCAATGATAATAGTGAAATAGTCGCCATTCAACAACAATTAGACAATCTAGTAGATAAAACTCAGTTACAAAGTTTAACTTCATTAATATATAAATTAGATGATAAGATTAAAAAACAAAAAATCTTAAACAACTAATAGATAATATTAAACCAGGTATAAGTGAAGAAAAATTAACTGAATTAGAAACCAAACTCACTGATAATAGTGAAATAGATGCTATTAAACAACAACTTCTAAATGTAGTAGATAAAACTCAATTACAAACTTTAACTTCATTAATATACTAGAACCACTCGTGGTACTGAGTGGAACTTTGCTCTTGTGCCAATTTGCTAGAGAATCTGAAAAAATCAACGTTCTTAGCCAATTAGGTCACGTGCTAAAGCAGTTAAAAATTTTGAAAATTTCCCTTTTTTGGAAGGTTGTTAAAGCGGAAGTTGAAGCCAGACATAAAATATGAAAGTATGATTAGATTTCAAAGGTCAATGACCTTTGACTATGTTAAGGGGAAGGTCATTTAAGGTCAACGTAAGGATATGAGTCATCAAACTTTGAAAATACAAACATTATAAAACCGGAAGTTGACGATGAACATCAAGTATGATGGAATAAATCTTTAGCCAAGGTCAATGACCTTCGATCCTACAAAGGTCAAGGTCATCAATGGTAAAGGTAAAAAATTTGAAAATATGCAAAATTTAAACCCTTTCCTTTTTTGAACTACGAAGCGGAAACAACTGACCTTTTCACACAAAATGGCCAAATGGGTGAGGTAATTGTGTGCAAGGTCCTGTTTTGAACAAATGTATTTTATACAAGTTATACCCCTGATAAAAATGTAAATAATAAGTAATTTAAGCCTAATGTGCCACGCCCACCTCAACTTTTTTGTCATAGGTCAATTTATAATTAATATGTCTCGTTGTGTTCCAAATTCCAAGCTTTTACAGCAAATAGGTCATAAGAAATACATAGAACTAGCTCAAAGAAGCTAACATATTGTAAAAAAACACCGAAATTTCACAAATTCAGAAATTTCAATTTCGCATTATATATCACTAGAAAGAGCTCGATGAGCACATTCAGAATCCACAAAAATTTACCTTAAAATTAATTAGGTCAGGAGCTAGAGCAGTCCAAATTTGCGAATTTGGATGTTTTTGGACAGCTATAAAAGCGGAAGTAGACGTCTGAGGTCAAATATGAAAGCATAAACTAATAGACAAGGTCAATGTCCTTTGACCTAATAAAGGTCAAGGTCATCAAAGGTCAAGGTCAAAAATTGAAAATTGTGAATTTCCAAAACCTGTTCCTTTTTTTGAATTATGAAGCTGAACTAACTGACCTTCTAAGACAAAGTGGCTCAAAGGATGACGTAATTGTGAGCAAAGTTCCATTTTGAACAAATGTATTCTTTGCGAGTTATGCCTTTGGCCAAAAATGTCAATAATGAATAATTTAACCCGGATGTGCCAAGCCCAACGCAATTTTTTTTGCATAGGTTAATTGATATTCAAATTGTGATGCTATATTCAAAATGTCAAGCTTCTACATCATGCAGGTCAAAAGATATAGGTCAACAAAAGTCAAAAAAGGTCAAAATCGAAAATTGAAAATATGGAATTTTTAAAACTCATTCCTTTTTTGGAACTATAAAGCTGAAATAACTGAGTTGTTAACACAAACTAGCCAAAAAAATGAGGTAATTGTGTACAAAGTCCCTTTTTGAACAAATGTATCCTATGCGAGATATGCCCCTTCCTCTAAGTGTAAACAATTAGTAATTCAACCCGGATGTGCCACGCCCACCCCTTTTTTTGTCATAGGTGAATTCATATTCGAAGTGTCTAGTTGTATTCCAAATATCAAGGTTCTACATAGAATAGGTCATAAGATATATATACACCAAGATCAAAATGACACAAATATGGTAAAACAAAACTCAAATTTGAAAAAATCACCAATTTCAATTTTGCTTTAAAAAAGCAATTGTTCTATATCTATGTTAAGTGTATGAAAAGCACATTAGGAAACCGAAAAAATTAACCCTCTAGGTTAATTAGGTCACGTGCTAGAGCAGTCCAAAGTTGCGAATTTGGCTGTTTTCGGAACGCTATAAAACCGGAAGTACAGGTCGGAGGTCAAATGTCAAAGTATCAACTGATAGTCAAGGTCAATGACCTTTAACCCTATAAAGGTCAAGGTCATCAAAGGTCAAGGTCACTAGATAGAACTTGCAAAAACTTCAACCGGAAGTTGCAAAAAATGAAAAGCGAAATTCAAAAATCGGCTTCCTAGTTTTTGTTGGCAATCGATTGTAGATTACATACACATCAAAATTATACACTCCCATTTCTTCATAGAGGCCCCATTTTTCGATTTACAAAAGTGTGTTTTTTCAATATGGCGGACGAAGTATCACTTCCGGTCTGGATTTTATTTTAAAATCGGCCATAAAATTTCATTTGGTAAAAATCAGCTAAATTTGGTTGACCTACATAAATTACACCGGAAGTTATTCAACCGGAAGTAGATTTGAAATTCAGTCGCTTTCCTGTTCAAAAGCGGAAATGACGTACAAATTTTGACTGTACCATATTATTTGCATTAGTAAACTCTCTTTGCATTTAAAATTTCAGATCAATCGATGCAAAAGCAAAAAAGTTGATCGAAAAAAGTGAGCGACGAATTTTCGAATTTCGTAATTTTCAAGTGTTATCAGGTCAGAAATTACAGGTAGATTGTAAAAATGAAAACCCGAAGAAAATCGATGCAAAAATACGCCTTTTAGAGCCGATTTTCGACTATTTACACATGTTGAACTGTGGCACTTCCGGTTTTGCAAAAATGTTCTAATATATATTTAAGGAACACGTTGCCACTACAGAAGGTCTAGAGAAGTTGAATGGTTGCTGCAACTATTGCAGTCTAGGCTCAGGAAGGTGTGTAAATTTCGAAAAAAAAAAACTAGAGCCACTCGTGGCACTTTGCAAATGTAGCAAATTGCGAGAGACCCCGAAAAAATCATCCTTCCACGATAATTAGATCAAGCGCAAGAACAAGTCTAAAGTTGAGAAATTTTCATTTTTTAGAAGATTCTAATACCGGAAGTAGACGTCAGATCTCACAAATGAAAGTATCAGCAGATAGCCAAGGTCAATGACCTTTGATCTTGTAAAAGAGAAGGTCTAAAAAGGTCAAGATCAAGAGATATACGTCATCAAAATTTCTAATTGCACACGACTATAAAACCGGAAGTTGACA